CCTGCCTGTTTTCACTTAGCTACAGCAACATAATCTGGCTCAGTAGTGTAGCATTTCAAACTGGAAACTCAACTTTTTATAGAGAATCATCCCCAAGATCGTTACAATTACTCATTAGGTTGAATGAGATTTTTGCCTGTGTTAGCTAAGAATGAACAGGTCTGTGGGCAGAGCATGGATTGTTCAATTCTGTCCATACCTCCCAACCAATCACCTACCACAAGAAATGCTCTGAAGTGGTGGCCCAATTCTGACCAATCCTGATCCTGGATATCTACCCCCTACAGAGATTAGCTCCAACTCAACTCTAACACACACAATATAGCAAATTTAAAATGGCCACACCCGGCTTTTACTTGTGGCCCACAAACCGTATGGAATGATGACACGGGAGAGGGCCGGATACGCTTGCCGGAATCCAGCCTGTTTACTGCAATTATAGTTAACTGATCATCAAATTAGTTTTATTGTTCTAAATCTGAATTAACTTGAATTAAATCTGAGTTCCTAGTACAGAAGTAGATTGTGTTGGAGTAACTGAGATTAACATTTTCACCCAACATTATCCAACATTTTAGGTTGGATTTTTACAGTGTACTGTGCCATAAATGGCCAAGATCTGAAGTTAAACTATACTCCCCTCACAATCCTGTTAATCCCTATTTAAAACATATTGTCATGCAGCTCATGTCAACACTAGCAGATCTGTTTTAAGACATGTGGGCCAAATGAGCATTTTTAATATGTGGGCCAGTTTTGGCTAACATGCAGTTTGCCAGTGCCGATCATGGGTCAGCAGTAATGAAGGTAATGAAGGCTTTTAATAACCATCTGCATATTAGAGCCAGGTGTGTCAGATCTGAATGTGTTAGCTCTCCAGGATTGGGCACCTCTGTACTAAAACAAGGGTATCTGCTGAACTTCTTTTTGTTATCCACCAGAGGTCACCTTCCTTAGTTTTACTAGTATTTCACTAGTGCTGAGCACACATTTCAGAAGTGAGTGGGATGAAAGGAAATCGTTTTTCGGTTGTCATTTAATGTCTGCAGTGTCTGCTGAATAATTTAGAAGCACCTTGTTGAGTACAAGAAATGCAGTCTATGAATAATAACTCCATATTTCAGTCATGCTGTAGAAACGTTACCCAACTCCCACCAACCATCTGCATCTTGATTTCATGTTTCTGTATCACATGGCATGCACTATAGCCTCAGTGGATGGCATGCACTATAGCCTCAGTGGATAGCATGCACTATAGCCTCAGTGGATGGCATGCACTACAGACTCAGTGGATGGCATGCACTATAGACTCAGTGGATGGCATGCACTATAGCCTCAGTGGATGGCATACACTATAGCCTCAGTGGATAGCATGCACTATAGCCTCAGTGGATAGCATGCACTATAGACTTAGTGGATGGCATGCACTATAGGCTCAGTGGATGGCATGCACTATAGACTCAGTTTGCTGCAGACAAAATTCAAAACGAAATTCAAGTTCAGGGACAAAAAAAAAAGCACATGCCATTTTCTAAAAGAAAAGCACTGAGTAATTATACATAATTAACAATGCTAAAGTGCAAGCCTTCACTCACATCTGTTGTCTCACAAAAGTGATGAACAGAAAAACAGTTTGGTAAACTTTGGACAAAAAAGGTCAGACCAAACTGTGGTCTTTTTCAATATGTACAATGTCCTTTTCGAGGAAATACTGAAATTCTGAGCGGTTTTTGACTTGGATGCATGATTCTGGGACAAAACCTTTAATTGCTACTGAATCTATTGTGGCAACTTTTTTTTAAGTATATACCAGAAACGTTTTCTAAAACGTTGACTAGCTGGTACAAAAGCTCCAGTTTCTGTGGTGACACTCACTGATTATGATGGTCAGAAGTGACCTCTAGTGGATCAAGCAAAGATGAAACCCTGGCTGGAATTTGTCAAGAAACTGTGCCACATCACCGGTTTGACCAGTGTTTGACCTGTGCTCCTGCTCTAAAACAGAAAGTTGCTACCAAATCAAGAAAACTGTTTAAAACTATTTAGTAAGTATGTTATTTTATATTTTATATATTACTTTATATATCTATATTTGATTAACTCAAAAACAAGAAAAACAATAGTTGTAATCGTAGCATTTGGACTTCACACCCCTTCCAGTTGTGAAGTCGCAGAACTTAATTAACTTGTTACATGACGTATCAGAGTGTAATAAATTCTCTGACTCTTCAAACCTTGTGCTAACAGTCAACAACCATGGGCTCCTCTAAGCAGTTGGCTTAAGATCTGAAAATGAGGCCCACTAAGCAGGGAAAGGCAGTAAAAAGATACCAAAGTGCCTCCAGCTCCCAATGTCCACTGTCTGAAACGTCATTTAGAAGAGGCAGGTCAGGGTAAATGTGGAAGTCAAGGCAAGATCTGGAGGAAAACTCTCAGCTAGGCTGGTCAGAAAGTCAAAGCAAACTTCCATATGACAGCAAGAAAGTTTAGTGGAAGTGGCAGTGCATTGTTCTACTGTGCAGTGTTACTTGCACAAACATGGTCTGCATGGCATCAGAAGGAAACCTTATCTGTGACAACCATCACAAAAGTCAATGTCTGAAACATTAATAGAAATTCTACTGAACATCAGCAAATTCTGCAACCAAATGTGACACAGTCAGTCAAGAACCTGAAACTGAAAAGAGGATGTGTTTTATAACAGGATAACAACCCTAAACATACCTGAAAAATCACCATGACTAACTTTCAGAAATGCCAGCTAAAGCTCTTGGAATGGATCCTAAACATGCTGTGCATGCAAGACGACCCAAGAATATCGCAGAACTAGAAGTTTTCTGCAAAGATGAATGGATGAAGATTCCTAAAACAAGAATAGAAAGACTCCTAGCTGGCTACAAAAAGCATTTGCAAACTGCAACATCTGCCACAGGGGCTCTTACTAAGTACTGACTTAGTAGGGTGTCCAAACATTTTAACATGCCAAAATTGCTTTTTCTATTTCAGTTCAGTTTGTTGTGTGTAAGTTGTAAAATTATGTCATATCCTGAGCTTTATGTTCTGTATTGTATTCTATAGCTTTAGCTCCCAAGAGTTTCTGAAAAATGACATTCAGAAATTCAAGTCAATCAATTTAACTGACTACCAAAGGTTCAGTGCCTCTAATTTTCCATTTCAGAGATGTGAGCAAAGCCAAACTGACCACAGAACAGAAATAAAGGAAAGGTAACAACATCAACCAAACTTTTATAATTGGACAGAGCATTTTGATGTGTTGGTAAATAGCTCACTGTACATGCCCCAAACTTTGTGTAGGTTATTTTGTGGTTATAGGCTTGTGGTGAGAAGCATGCACTACTTTATTTTGAACCATGACTTTTTGTACATTTTTTTCTGGGTCATGCTTTTGCCTAGTGAGAGACTTGAATTCTTACTTTCTCACCAGGTGAGAGGGAGCCACACTGCTAAGTAACTGTTATGTGACAATGAGAGAAAAAAAAGAACCCATGAGAAACTGATTTTTCAACAAACTGTGAAACATCACAATAAAAAAAATGTAAAAAAAAAAAATGCAACATTTTGTGTCTCATAGTTAATATGATCATAATTTACATTGTTTTTCTGTTCCATTTTTTTTCACAGTAAAAGTTTTTAGTTATTATCGAGTTTATGTATTTTATTCCTGCACCCCATCAACCTTGTATGGACAGAACCTTGTATTGAAGTATGGACAGAACTTCTGGCAAAGTGTAAACAGACAATGTGTTAAATGCTAATAACAACCTTAACATGACAAAAAAAATGTGGTAAATAATTTTTATTTATTTATTTTTCTTTTGGGATGCTGATAAAATTCTTGTGTGTCAATGCTTGTAATCAATTCATTAACAGAAACCTGCACCTGCAGGAGAGAAGCCCATTGCTCAAAGCATTCTCTTCATAGCCTTCACTAATTATTTACTGTAAAAGTCATTTTATTTTGACTTTTTAATTTTGTTTACACTGTCATTTACATACATAAAACCGTAAAGCATTACATTAATGCAGAAATCTGTTCATTTGCAAGTTTTTTTAAACCAGCTCTATGCTGCCCCTATGTTTACTATAGTATGTTAGCATGAAGCTAGTGGGTTTAGCTCAGCACTATACTGGATTTTGATGTTAGCTTTAGTTTAAATACATGCCTTTCAAGCTCATAACAGACATCCAAATAACATTTTTTTTCTTTGTATGTCTCAGTTTTGAAGTAACTTATTCTGTGAAGGCTTAAACTCAGTCTGTCTGTCTATCTGTCTGTCTGTTTTGTTAACCTGTTAGCCATTATCTTTCTGCTAACCTGCAGCCTACTCTAGAGAGGGCAGAATATATTCAGTTACAGAGAATCTAGTGTAAACCAGTTAAAGAGAGTCTGTGAAGGCCTAAACTGAAAGTGTATCTTGGATTGTTAGCCTGCTAGCCACTTAGCTTTCTGCTAACCTGCAGCCTAATTTAGTGAAGACAGATTATATCCAGTTACTGAGAATATAAAGTATAAACCAGGTAAATAAGAGCCAGTTAGCAGCAACCAATGATGTTCAACTGGCAGTTCGTTTTTCTGGATTTTTGGGCACAGATTTTAGCAATGACATCTGGGCTTTTCCAAGCAGTGATTATGAAGCCACATTCATGTCTTTCTTTCTTGAGAGGCTTGTGTTTTTCCTGTCCTTCTTCCTTTCAGCTTCACTGGGCTGTAACGACAGCCGCAACCCTGCATGTTTTCATGCAACCCACCATTTAATGGGACATAGAAAAATAACAAGTAAGCACTCATTCCTGGACTTAGCTAAAGCAGTAATGAACGACACTTCTTTTCCACAACTGGATATTTTGGCCGTAACCTCGAAATACAACAGTCTTGTGAAAAATAATTTGGAATGAGTGATTTTTTCCTCATCAAATCTGACCCTCTGACACCACTGCATGCTTTTTGATATTTTTAATATCTCCATATGAAATACACAGAAGCAAAAAATGGTCATTATTCATTAAAAATGAAATAGCTTTTAAAAATAAACATAATATTAATGCAAAACACATGTCCCGCAGGCCAGCGCATAACAAAAACTGAAATTACCTGAGGAACATGCTGTACATTTCAAAAACACATCATTTAAAGGTTGGACACATTAACAGAAACACCACAAGAAAAACACTAACATGCTAAATAGCTAAATCAGATTTACAAAGGCAGCTAAGCAGATGAGTCATATCTGGTTGAATAGTTAACAATAAACATCCGCTGTTAAAGACTGGATTTGTGCGTTTTCGAAAATACATGAGGCAAGCAAATGACGACATATTAGAAGGCCCTGCTGCATGTACAAAAATGTAAAATATGTAATTGTCTTTATAGAGCTATCTCAAAACTTATAGTTAAACATGACCAACTGAGTCAGGAAAGAGGAACAGTTTTTACAAGTCAATGCTAAAAAAAGGGCCTCATAAATTAGCGCAAACCTAATTCAGCATCTCCGTGACCCAGTTTCAATGAAATGCATTCTTTCTGTAAGAAGCACAATGCTACCTTGCGCAATGAAAAAGAGGTATAATCTGACTAATCATCTTTCACCATTCCTACATCCAGATGTGTTTACATTGGAGAAAGTCAAAAGATGCTTTCGAACCACGTCTGTTTTCAACTCCGAAAGCGTGGATCCATAATGTCACGAACAGCCACCTCACATTGAGTCATAAGGTCTAATTCTATGCATGGTTAGATAATAGTGAATGAATATAAAGCCACTTTGCAAGATCAAAGAGCCATTTCGCCATCAGACTGTAGCAGTGCCCTCTTGATCATTGCGTATAATAGCTGCATTTTATTTGGCCTTCGCCATTGTTCAAGATCCGTTTCAGTGAGGCTGAGTTTTGCATCGTGCTGGGGTTTGAACTTGTGGGTTGGCTCAGGTTCCACAAGCTAGATCTCTCTTGGGTGCCACCTCTGGTGTAGTACCGGCCATTTTCGGTGATTTTGCCTTAGCTGCTTCGACCTTGCTGAATCAAGTTTTTGTTATTGTAAAAGCATGAAACTGTGTAGGGCTCTGTGGGCTCGAGCACAGACCACCTTAAAGAAAGTTACAACTTAATTTTACGAAGGTTTTAATAGCTCCGAAACAGGAGATTGTCTGTCCAATGCTCTTCTTTCGTTAGAATGCTCTCAAATCAGAACTATGCAAAACTTTAGGTGAGACGCCTAACCTGACATTTGCCTTCCTCTAAAGCAGTGGTCTCCAACCCTGATCCTGCAGAGCTACCTTCCCGCAGAGCTTAGTTTCAACCACAATTTGTGCCATACCTGTTCCAGCTAATAAACCTCTGTCCAAGTCACATCAGTCAAATCATGGCTGGATCAGATGTATTTGAGTTAGAGGACAGGGCAGCTTATTGGATACAGGTCGGAACTAAACTAAGGGAAGGTAGCTTTCCATGACCAGGGTTGCAAACCACTGCTCTAAAGACATGCTGTAAATTAAATTAAATTTAATTTAATAAAATATTTCTTTGATCTCTTGCTCTCCGAAATGTCTGGGCACAGGTCTGAACTGTAGCCTGTGTTGAAAACTAACTAAGGACATTACTAAACAAACTTATGAATGGTGATTATGAAGCAAAATGCTTTGCATTGCCTCCATAACTAAAACCTCTCAACAATGTCTCCATGGGACATTTTCTGGAGCACAGAGTGTGAAAATTTCCACCTCGAGCTCTCAAACACTGGATTCTTTTCCTTTCAGGATGGTATAGTTCAAGAATGACGTAAATCCAATAATGGCCGAAGGTATTCTGCAGGCAATGGGTGCTCTGCATCTTCTTAAAGAAATGGTTGGGCCAATCAATCTTCCACTAACTCTAGATGTAGCCAGTCAGCGAAGACATGTTTGGAGTCTAAATGTAGTTTCTTTAGTTCAGTACTGGAGCTACAAGGCTAACGTAGCTAGTAAACAGCAGAACACAACAGTTACCAAAATGGATTTTGTAAAAAATACGTCTCCAAAACTCCTCTCAGCCATCTTAAACTGCAACCAGGTCTTCATTAAGGTTGCAAAGACTTGCTGATGTGGTTTAGAGCACTGTGAGCTATAAAAATAAACTAAACTTCACCGCTATGGGTAGCCATTTTAGACGACACCAGAGCTGGTATTCACAAAGCAGGACTGATCTTAGATCAGATTGCTCTGTATTTTTGACTGTCACTGTCTGATTCTAAATCTGCAGTCTTGCTCCGGTGGTCAGGGCAAAGCAGCCATATCAAAAGTGAAGCGGACACAGTTGTCAGTAAGCAACAGGGCACATACTGCTGGACACAATTCTTGAAGAATGCTTGCTGGACTGTATATTATACATAAATCTGAACATTGCTATTTGTACTTCCTAGAATCCTTTCTTTAGTTCTGGGTACATATGCACCACGTCATCCACCACTCCTGTTAACAGCACATTTTTCAGATTGCTTATCATACCTAACCCTTCCTGCTCAAATTGTTCTCTAAAATGCATATTTACAACATCAGTTACTATGAAAAACTCTAGTACTCAGATGAGTATGCAATGACGTTATGTTTGACAAAGCGACTCTCAAAGTTGTTGGCCAGGAATCAAACCTGACTCCCAGTCATGCTGGAGTCAAAGAACTGACTTTTTGGAGTTGACACCCCATCACTAGAAGCAGTAAGTGCCAAACAGGAGGCGATACATCTCTGACTGAGCAGTTATGTTAGTCAACAGAATATATCCACTAGCGGATGACTGCTGTAATAGCAAGCTACTACTAGCCAGTTTTTTTCCTGACTCAATAGTTTTTGACAAAATATTTTTAATACCAGAACGTGGTCAAATTTTACATGTTCTTATTTTTTTTAGTCAAGGCAAATTTGCCAGCCAATTTAATCCACTCTCTTAAACTCATAAGACTTTGTGCAATGCGTTTGGTCTGGTTCGGCCTACGCTGCTTAATTGTGATTGGCTGGGTCACCGTTCAGTCAGCCAAGTAACCTATACCTATAAATGCTATTAATCTTAAAAGGGTGTTTTTTCCTCAGTGATTTGTGATTGCCAGTCACAAGTTCAATTCAGGAAAAACGCAGTGTGTGAAAAGTGTGTGGACAGAATCTCTTGACTGTGAGAGTGCAGGGGACATGTCCCCTTCACCCCCCCCACATCTGCTGCATCATTACCCGTGGTGGTTTGTGAATACAGACAGTCTAAAGTGGATTCCCCCTGGATGTGGTTTGAGTGGGTTGAGAGAAGTTTTGGTGATATATTTTTACACAAACAATTTAGGCTATCTGGGTGACTTTTGAGTTCTAGTGTTTGTTAGCAATATTAGCCTCAGCATTCAAGTTATAAACTAAATTTGGACATGTCTTGGCTACATACAGGGTAAGTTGGGAAAATTTGATATTTCACCAAACCATTTCTTTAAGTACTTTAATTTCATTGCTATTTACATTATTTTGTCTGCCCGTTGTCTGAGCACCACAGAAAAAGCTCCGCATTCTCATGTAGCCCTCAGAAGCAAGTAATCTTTTTACAGCATTTCATTATTGACTTATTAGGGCTCTACTGTCATTTTGATTTCCTCTGGTGGCACTGGGCAATTCAGACAAATTTGAGGCAACAGTCTCCTCTCCCATGTTACTGGGACAGCAGTTCCACCGGCCAAGCACTCTCCACAGCGCTTGCCGGAGCTCTCTGGAAGCAAGATAGTACACAAAAGGGTCAAAGCAACAGTTGAAGCTGTTAAGACCCAATGTGAGCTTGTAGTAGGCATATATGCCATGGTTTTTGCTCCGATAAACCATGTGGATGGGCTGGACGATCATATTAGGCAGGTAGCATGTGATGTAGCAAAGGGCCGCAACTATCACCAAAGTCTGTGTGCGCTTGTGTGAACGCTGGACTCCTGCATCAAGCGTCTGTCTCAGGGCACGAGCCACTGCACAATAACAAGCAACTAAAATGATCATTGGCAACACATTGAAGAATAAATATATGGAAACAAAGTAGAGATATCCTTTCCATCCTTCAAAAACTTTTTTAGGAATCACATCAAAACAGGTGGTAACATTGAGCTGAGGAATAAACCGAGTAAAATCATGCACGAAATAAGGCATCTGGAAGACAAGCATAACAGCCCAAATGAGGAGACAGATCAGGATGGCTTTTCGGGTGCTTCGCAGATGTTTGGTTTTCAAAGGGTGTACAACACCGCAGTATCGCTCCAGAGCTATGGCACAGGTTGTGAAGATTGAGCAGGTCATATTGCAGTAGAAAGCAGCTGTTGAAATTCCACAAGACACCTTGCCAAAGATCCAGTCATTGCGTTGAAGATGATAGCACACCTAGAAAAATCAGGGAAGTGACTGAACTGTCAATTAGTTGAAATTAAGCAGTATGATGGTATTTTACATATTGTTTGTTTATCTAACCATGTCAAAGGCCAAATGTCTGAAGATAAACATGCATAAGAATCACTGACATATAAGGTTTTAGTTAGGATTTAGACCTCATCATGGCAGCATTTTTGCAGATAGTATACAACCAGGGCTATGTGTATTTGTTTGAACTTGTGAAGACCTGAGAGGTGACACTCTAATGGCTGTTAACTGTTTGTAAACGTAAATGTAAGTTTCTGCAAGCACAAAAGTAAAGTGTGGCATCCCCCAGGGCTCTCTTGTAGGACTACTGCAATTTCTATTATATATCCTGCTGTTAATGCTATCCATTAATTTAGCATTTGCTTTCACTGCTATTACAATGACACATAGTTGCTTGTATCAGCCAAATCAGATGATTTGAAAAAAATAATGTTTTTAATGCCAAACAATGATGAATGCTCCTGCAAAATTTAAACAAAACAGACATGCTTTTACCAAAAGCTTCTAGAAACAAGTTGTCTGTTTATGTTAATGCCATTTATGGTGGCCTTTTATTTGCATTAAGTATAGCTGTGAAACACCTTGGTGTCACTCTTAATTCTAATCTCACTTGACATATAGATGACTACTAAAACACGCATCCTCCATCTAGAAAATCTATGTTGAGAAATGTACTTCACATGATGTGGAGAAAGTAGTTCATGTTCTCTTTAGGTTACACAACAAATTAAACGACAAACTTAAAAAGCTCTAAATGGCCTTGGCAGGTAACTGAGTGAACTCATCACCTATTATGAGGTTCCATCCTTTCTTCTATCAGATCTGTGGAATAACCATCCTGTCAGTGTTTGGTTCTCCTACACAGTCTTATTTTTTAAAATAGGCTGCAAACCTACTTGTTTATTTCAGCCCTTTGGTGACTCGATTCTCTCTTCAGGTAAAAGGTGAAGGGCTATCTTCTGGGTGTCCTTTTCTGGTTAAGCTGTTGTACAAGCGTTGGTCTTTGATGGCTCAGGAAACTTAAATGTGATTCTCCTAAAATTCCTTAGTTACTCAAGGCATGAAAACTCAGAATGTGTGACTACTGAGATCTCTACTGAAAGATTAAGATTACAGGAGTCTTTGGTACATCAGGTAACAGACGCCTGCGTTGGGGAGATAAAGGGTCATCCTACACACCCAGAAAGAGCAAGGCCAGCTATGTTTTCTAGGACTCCTGGCCATGTGTGGCTGTGGCAATGCTGGAGATCAGACAATGAGTCAACGCTTACATGGCTGCACCACTCAGCAGCCCTAGGTAACTTCTGTCGTTAGCCATTGGCATATGCCACCCATCAGAGTATCTCACTTTTACTCATGTATGACTTTTATCACAACTCAGCTATCTGCTGTTGTTCTGGGCTGTTTTGAGTCTAGGTTCCTCTGAAGGTTTCTTTCTCATGCTCTTAAAGAGCGTTTCATTTCCGTTATTGTCCTCAGCTTGCTTGTTAAGGGTCCGGACTTTCTGTAAAACTGCATTGTATTAAGATCTGTTGTGTTAAAAAAAATACACATTTAAATAAAATAATTTTTTAAGAAGTGTTTGTTCTTACTTGCAGTGGTAGCGTGATGCTGTAGAGCAGATCTGCAAGACAGAGGTTAATGGAATAGATAATTGTGGGAGTTGCACGCTTCGTAAGGCCACAGAGAAGAATGAGGGCGATAAGATTGCACGGAGTGCTGATAACAAACACCATGATGTAGATGATAGGCAGAGCAACAGTCATTAGAGGGCTGACCAGTGCGTCCAGTGTGGCATTGTCTATACTTTGAGAGGAATTGTTCATTTTGGAGCAGCTGGAGTTTGTGGATCTGAAACAACACACAAAAAAACAAACAAAAAAAGTGAGCATGTATCCTCAATGGCAATGTTAATACATATTACTCTATAACTGCTCCTAATAGGTTAATATCCAATAGGCACCCTGCCATGCACTTTACTGTTGAGTTGCACAACCATTTTTATTTTGTTCACAAAATAATCAACTGTGAAAAATTGTGCCTAATGACACTCATAGACCTGTGCTTTGTGTATATTGTGTGTATGTCTATGTCTATATAAATGTGCACAATACAGTGCAAAAGTCTTAATGTGTAAAACCATTTATCTGGACATTTATTTGCTCAGAAAAATTAAAAATAGAATTAAAACAAACAAACAAACAAGACACTGTGATTTGATGTCTATCGATGTGTAAGCTTAATCATTTCCAAAGCTCTTCTCGAGGACGTCCCGTATTTACAGTTACCATCCAATACCTTCTTCAACTAATCAATCATTCGTTCCATTAAATCACAAAGGAATTTAACCTGTGTGTTTCTAACTGTATTTTACATAGTAATAACTTATATATATATATGCAAACAATTCTAAATTTATACAGTACAGAACACAATTCTTAGGCAGCTGAGAAAATTTTATTAAAAAGCTATTTATTCAGACAGTGAATGTTTTTGCTCAGAAAAACACTAATTTTAGAATAAATACAAATACCTTTAATGCAAAAAAGGAAAAGTTAAACCATTTGCAGATCCTTATCTAGATCATTTAAGTACTATTAGATTATTAAGTATAATTTGTGGTTATCATCCAGTCCCTTGTTTGGCTCAGTCAATGCATTATTAAGCTAAATCAGGTTTGCTGGTGATGCATTTCAAGAAATTTGTATGATGGCCGAGGGCATCGAGAAGAAATCAGGAACTAAACCTGCGTTCTTCTAACGGCTCAAAAGATATCAGCTTCTTTTTAAAAACTACTACTGCTAATATTAAAATATTATATGTTGTATTTACATGGAGGAACACAATGATTGCCCATATAAACAGTTTTAAACATTTTGCCTAGGTGCCCAAGACTTTGGCGCTGTACTGTATATAAAGCTGACACAAATGCATCTGAATTTAGTCTGTGTCATACATAAAGAGATGTGGTAACCATGGGAGCAAATAAATGTCGTCATTTTTAAATAAATAACCGTATGTTTTCTCCAGAAATTAGTCATACCTCCACAATGAGACACCAGCGCACCCGTTTAGAAAGCGCTATCTTTGGTGTCACTAGCTAGTCTTTTACGGAAAGTGGAGGTAATAGGGCAGTAACAGCCCGGCTCAATTTACAATTTACCTATATTTCTATTTACTGCATGAAATATCTCCCCAAATATTTTGGCTAGCACTTGTCATTTGGTCAAACCTGATCATAGGCACAAATTAAGAGTCCAAGACTCTGTTACAGTTAATCAAGTGTTCAGAGTAAAACAGCTGCGGCAAAATGTTTTGATTTTAGTAAACAAACTGACTGTAAAAGATTTACTGGGATCCCTGATTATATAACACAGATTTTTTTTTTTATTTATATGTAAGTTGTCTGAGAAAATATGAGAAAAGGCAAACTTTGTATTTAGTAACTACTTTGTTGCAGCCCTTTGTCAATATAACAGCACTAAACCTTCTCATTTAATGGTTGAGCTGGTAGAGCACATATACTCGTTTGAACACCCCCAGTCAAATGACACGTTTTGTTGATTTTTTAAGTGAAAATATGTGAAAACATCCTCTACAGAGAACAACTTAAATATGACAATTTTCTGCAGATTTTAGTGGACGATTTCTATTTATTTGCTGAGTTTAACACATTAGAATAAATAAAACAAAACATCAATGTGCCACAACTTGACATTTTTTTCCCAAATGGTAAATTCAATGAATAAACAGTAATTGTGCATTATAATGTGCAGAAGCGTGTTCACAGTGAAGGACGTGTAAGCTTATTTACACTTATAACACCAGCAGAACATGTTATTTAACAAGGGGTGCCCACACTTCTGCATACGACTGTATAAAAGTATCTTGGGCGTTTTCTTCACTGTAAAATCTCTCCAGATTCTTTAGTCTTTGTACCATAAGTTTTCTGTAGCTTTTTTTTTAGAATTTATACTTTGTTATAATACAACTATATTTATATTTTAATGACTGCATTTTTTTATATTACATTTATTTTAGAATGCAGTCTTGCAGACAGCTGTAAGGCATCCTGTGGGGTAAACGTATCAGGTAGGTTTCCCTGATGTTTTTCGCACTCAGTAAATATTTGTACAGACTGTATATTATTATTTTAACAAGGCATTTATGAGCAAAGGTGGGGGTTTACTTTAACGAAATCTCAGACATGCTAATTTCTTTTCTAGATATGACTTGGTTTTCAGTGATTTTACCACACATGAAATGAGCTGGCGCTGAGTTTGTCAAATTGTTACCTACAGAAGCTTTCTAAAAAGATTATTTATATTAGTTTACAGCTACGAAGTCAAGCACTGGTGTGAATTCTATTTTCTTCTTTATTAATTTGCTCGTTTAATGTTATTTTTTTTTTTACTGAGTTTAATATTAGATTGGGTGGAGTCATTTTAAACATGCCTGATGGGATCTCAGTGATCAAAGGAGAAATGTTCTTGAAGGGAAATTCCATTCACATATTCACACATTTTGTTTTCTCATCTGTGACCACATAGGAAACTAAAATGGAAAACACCACAACGTGAGAATTTTTTTTTTTTTTAGAGAAGTGTCCTCTACTACTCTACTTTTCATTTCTATCGCCCAAGGCAGCTGTTCTTCCTCTAAAAATGCACATACGCTAGACACTGTTTGAAAACATGTTGTGGAAACTCCTCGTGATTTCCAGTTTCTTGAACAAAACAAAGGTAAACAAAAGGAGAACAAGCTAAGAACTGAGAAGTTTCACAGTATCATCTGTGAATCTACAGACTTATGCAGTTAGTTTATATACATATATGTTTATATATTTATATATTCATCTACATAAAGTTTCCCTTTTACTGTAAAGCCACATGCAAAACTGTACAAAGCAGTTTCATGCTAAAAAAATAAATAAACAACAAAACTCTACCAGAGATATTTACTACTTAGGAGATACAATTTACTATTTAAAAGGCAAAAAACAATGTGAAATAAAAACATACCCAAGAAGGCTGAGGAAAACCGTCTTAATATAAATTACGCTCTATCAGATTACAACCGCGCACACATGCTTGCTTGCTTCTCAGTTCACATGGCTTGATAAAGTGGAAGCAATCTCTGGAAACGCCTCTGACTGTCAGTCCTGAATCCCCTTCCGATGTGTCATGCGCTTACAAGTTTATTGAGGAAAGTAAACTCATACTTCGTTAAAAAAAATGCAAAGAAATACATCACTAGTGTACCATATCAACTGTACCCCCTCCTCATCAGTGGTAAATAAACTGTCTGTAGCATAAGGGGGCGTTTCCTAAGCAAAAGAAGCCTAAAACACAGAAAGACCCTGAACATACTGCTACTGAACATTGGGTTCCACAGGAAGTTACCATTAATGATGTCACAGCCAGGAAACCACACCTGTCAAGAACAAAACCCTCCAAACAGACTCATGCTTGAACCTACAAAGCTGTTTGAAGCTGCGTTCTCATATTAAATGTGATTATCCATTGCATTTACTAATTTACAATCATCTCAACTCACAGTGTGTCATTTTGAAACTGGACGACGTGACTTGCTGCACGAGCACACAGGGCCATTTTTCGCTCAGGCAAACACAAAAGTATAGAGAATGTCAAAAACCCGCATCAAAGAACTGAAAGGTTATCGAGTTAGCAAAGCTGAAATTTGGTATAGTTCCTAACCTGAGAACCTCTCTATGTATAAAACAATAGACAAAAAAAATATATATTTTTTAAAACTGAAATAAAAGATTTTTCTGTGATGCTGAATGTTGTAGAGATTACATTCAGTGGGGGTATAATGCAGTTTATAGAATTAAATGTAATGAATAAAGATCAATTTTAATATATGACAACATGCATTTTTTATTTAAACACTGAAAAGACTGAAACATTAACACTGTATTTGCTAAAACAGTAGAGGTACTGACACACTACACTCGTACACAAACACAGCTAGTGTAATAATAGTGTAGATAGCTATTTGACAGTAACTGCTACAAAACCATAATACTACTCAAACTAGTACTACTGACAATTCATTTCCCACAGAGCATCCAACAACTGAAGCCCCAGATGAAGACAATATACAGTTGTATTTAAACATGTGGATCAAGTCTGGTCATGTTTGATTTTCTGAGTGAAAATAAGTGAACACATCCCCTACAGTAAACCTGTTTGCTGAGCTTTAACACACTGGAAAAATAAAATACATTAAATGTGCCACAACCTTTGTACATGCCAAATAAATGTGGCATATTTACCATTTGGTATATTATATAGTTATATTGTTATACTGAGTTCAGCAAAATAAAACACAATGTGCAGAAGTGTAGATGATGTGTACTAATTTTCATAGAGGAAATCAACATGTAAATTATCCAGGAAACTTGTGCATACTACTAAATGTGCTGGTTTTCGTGACATCACGAAAACAGTGAACCCAAAATGGGCTGTTTTTGCAGCTTGGCCTTCATTTATGGACTGAGGAGTGTATGGTACCTTTTGAAACCTTCTGAAAGTGTTTCTGTATTACATTATTCTATCTAAAAAACAAACAAAACAAAGAAAAAAAATCCCCATTTGGTCTTCCATGATATGGACCCTGTAAAACAAAAAAGAGAGAGAGAGAAAAAAAGGCAGTTTTGCCCCCCAAAACGATGAGAAGGGCTACAACAATAACAAACAATGTCTGGCAAAGGCGATCAACCTTTATCAACTACAAATATCTATTAAGGTTATATAACCATTGTCAATGAACTGTGTACATACGTATAATAGCTTTTTTCTTAAAACAGCAAAATGCTATTGTGAGTAGATTCCTTGACTTTCTTATTACAGCTGAAGATAATACCAATAAAACCCCATATACTAAAACACTTCACTAAGGCAGTATCACTGGCAATTGAATTAAAACACTACTGATTCTTTCTCTGTTTTTGAGTGAAGACGTTTCACCACCTCATGTAAAGGTGTTGAAACAAGTCCATAGCTCCCATAGGTTTCCATTCGAACAATGCAGTATAAAAGACATTTACTAGGATGTAGTGTTCAAAAATACTGGCAACATGAACAACAAAGTTTAAAAAGTTCTTGAAATGTTAAAAAAAAAATCTCATTCGTTAAATACTGTTCCATGAAGAATAATCCACTGAAACGTTCTTCATTGAACCAAAGACGTTCTTCTGTGGCATCACTCCAAAGAACCCTTTTTGGCACCTTAATTTTTTTAAGAGTAAAGAAGGAATTTCAATTTAAGCCAAAGCTCAATGATCTATAAGCACCCTATTCCAACATTCTCCAATTGCCACCCTCATTCCTTTTCTTCAGTATCCATGTGTCCTTCAATCTCACCCCCCTCCTCTCCTCTACAGTTATTGAGGTGACGGCGGATCCCTCGAAGGAAATTGGACTCAAAAGGGCAGAACGGGCACTGGTACAACCCTTGTTTATGGAACAGTTTAACATGTTTGGTCAGCAGGGTTTCCAGCATGAAGGTCTTCTTGCACTCTTTGCAGGCATGCGGCTTGGGGACGTCATGCTTCTGGCTGACGTGGTACAGTAAAAAGCCTTTCTTCTTGGAGCGCCACTTGCAGAACTTGCAGTAGTAATAGCGCGTGCTCAAGTGTTCAGTGTATTTCATGACTGCAGCATTTTTCTCCTCTTTAGCTGCCTGGCTGCTGTCTAACTCGTCCTCGTCCTCCTCTTCGTCGTCGTCATCTTCGCTGCAAGACGCAGAGCTCCGCTTCCTCTTTAACAAGCTGCTGGAAAAGTTGGAGTCTTCGTTTGATCCGTTCGAAGCTCCCCCTTCAATGCTCTGTCCTTCTTCTGTTTTAAGAGTGTCTACATCCATCAAACTGTCGGGTTGCATCTTGGGACTAGGGACCTTGTCCCGCTCACTTCCTTCCCCATGTCCAACCTCAGATGAATCTGAATCTTTGCTGTCCTTACTGGCTCTGCAGCTTTCCTTGGCTTCGTCAGATTTCTGCTTTAACCCCAAAGCTTCATCCTTCCGTAGTGCTTTGCCAGAGAAGCTGTGCTGGACCAACAGGTGGTCGAACAACTTGCTGTAGTCTTTGGACGTGAAGAAGCAGATGTAGCAGTGGAAGAGCTTGGCTGTGCGCTGGTAGAAAATAACTTTACCCAAGCGGCCCACAGATACATCTTCACAGTGGAGGGGATGCTGGGAGCCAACATGGATTTGAAAAGAGCATTTGGTGTTGCACTGGAAGTAGCAGTATGGACACTGCAGGTTACTGCCTCCATTTCCAGAGCTCATCATCTGCTTCTTGAAGTCTGCTGTGGTTGAGAACTTAGGTTCCATGTCCTGAGCTTCTCTGACAACATGAGTTGCTTCTGAGATTCTTGCATCATTGATGGCTTTTTGGGGTGCTCTCTGAAGAAAAAAGAGAAAAAAAAACAAAAAACAAAAGCGCTATTCAATATCAAAACAAGCCAACACGGCATGATACCGCTCTGTTTATGTTCTAGCTAGAGTATGGTGCAAAATTCTGAGACCACCCTTCATTAATTTCATTTTCAGTCAAAATGCACAATAACTGTCATTCATTTCAAGAGATATTTCTGATTCCTTGACTTTCTCATAACGGCTAAATACCAATAAAAACCCATACATTAAAACACTTCACTAAGGCAGTATCACTGGCAATTTGATCATGTTTTAGAACAATAGTGTTTCTTTCTCAGTTTCTTAGTCAAGAATTTTCACCACCACATTTAAATGTTGAAACATGTCTACAGCTCCCATAAGTTTCCATTCACACAGCACTTAAAAGAAGACAAAGATGATATAGGACTCTGAAGTTAAAAGGTTCTTGTGTTAGTGTTCACATCTCATTAACAAAAAAAAGAGATGTGGAAAAATATCCCTGCAGATTCCTTTGTAAAAAATCTCCCAAAAGAGTGGCAAAACGTTGGACACACTAAATACTGAAAATGTTGATACTATATTTAATTGTCGATGCTTCTGTGTAATTTTTTGTTAATTATACGTATTCTGTTTTTTACTAATGCTGAAAAAATGAATAACTTGTACTTAAGGTCTGTTTTGACTGTAAATTAAATAACTTACGGGTGGTCTCTGACTTTTTGCACAGTACTGCATGGTTTTTATTTATGTGAAAATCACAAGATAATATCAAGAACAGTCACGTTACTGTGCCTTACATCTAGATAACCAGTTGCGCAACCAGAACTTCCGTTATCCATTTTTACACATCCGTCACATGCGTCTACCTAGAAATAATAAATAAACGAAAGAAGAAAATGTATTATTATTCATGGTATCTATTATTATTTTACATTTTACTACACAATTCTTTATTCAGTGCTGTACTTTCTCTTCAATTTTTTTTTTTGTTTTTTAAGAACATAAGAAGCCTAAGTAAATGCCTTACCCATGTTTTTATGCGATTCGACATATCAGGCCAGTAATATCGTGCTGAGATGATATCTTTTGTCTGCTGTGTGTCATAATGATAACCACCATCACTAACATGGGAAGCTGTAAGAACTGAAATGATCTCCTCCTCCGTTTCCAGCACAAGTCGTTTCAGTCCGTCGAGTCTTCCCCCTTGTAAAACAAGAGCTCCAGCTTTAGGCCACGAGTACATGACGAAAGATCAAATATAGTAAATTATTGTCTTTCACTCTAGGCTTAGTTAAATAAATCATGCATATTATAATGAATTACCAAATAAACTAGTGTGCCAAAAAATCAAATGTTTCTCACGTGTTCTCAAGTTTTTAATGTTTTGCCATTGACTTACGATGGAATCAATCACATATATAGAGACATATGCAGGCAATACTTAATAAATAAAAAAAGCATTCAACTTTAAATATATTACATACTTTTAAATAGAGAATATACACTCACCAAGCACTTTATTAGGAACATTTCCTTGTATATACACTTATTGTCCATTGTATCAGCTCCACTTACTATATAGGAGCACTTCATAGTTCTACAATTACAGACTGTAGTCCATCTGTTTCTTTGCATACTCTGTTTGAGCCTCTTTCACTCTGTTCTTCAAAGGACCACCATAGAGCAGGTACTATTTGGGTGGTGGATCATTCTCAGTCAGTGTGTGTTGCGCTGGTACGAGTGGATCAGACACAGCAGTGCTGCTGGAGTTTTTAAGCACCTCAGTGTCACTGCTGGAGTGAGAATTGTCCACCAACCAAAAATATCCCACCAACAGCGTCCTGTGACCCCTGATGAAGAAGCCTACAGTAAGTGAAATTTAACCCTACGTGTCTTTTTTCACACTTAAAAAGATGGTTCTTCAGTAAAAAAAAGGTTCTATTTAGAAACATGTATAGTTCTATATGGAACCATTTCATGTTCTTTGCATGGTGAAATGGTTCTTCAGATTGATAAAAAAATGTACTGTATGTGGTTCTACACGTTTGGATCTATACAGCACCAAAAAGGGTTCTTCTACTGTCACACTGCCAAGCTTGTAACAACAGAAGAATACTTTTTGGTGCTATATAGAACCATTTTAAAAAGTTTTTTTTTGGTTAAAGAACCACATACAACAGGTTTCCCATCATAAAGAAGAACAATTTCACCAAGCAAAGAACCATTCACGCCATGAAATGGTTCTATATGGTACTCACGGTTCTAAATAGGGCCATTCCCTTCACTACAGAACCATCTTTTTTTTAAGTGTGTGTGGAATAAAGCAGCGCTGGGTGCGTTCAAGTGTGCTAGCAGCTAATGTAGTTAAAAGAAGCTAAGCAAAAATGACAGCGGTGTGTCTTTCTCACATCTGGTAGTGATATTTAACATTAAATAGTGGCCACACGAGGTGTGAAGTAAGCCCGACACACCACGGGTCTGCACCTTCGGTGCCGTAATGAATGCATGGCTGCAGGATCTCACACACAGACGTGCATGCTAGCTGCCTACGTTAGCATGTTGTCTGAGTAAGGAGCAGGTAGCTAGCTTGCTTGCTTTGTTCAGGTGAACAGTTTTGACTGGGAACAGCGACTGCAGCTGGCTAAATAACGGCGTCGCCCGTCTGAAAACCCTAAATGTCGTGCATTTGTTTCCTGTGAATGACATTTGTGAAGTTAGCAGGGAAGCTAATTGTTTTCACAGCTTTCTCAAAAACCTCAACAATGAATCGGATAGCCTGCAGCAGCTGCAGCTGCTAGTTAGTAGGAGGAGGTCCACGGTTGAGAGGTTGGAAGCTGAGCAGAGCTGTTACTGAGCCCTTTTTGTGTCATTTATCTCCGCATCTCGCTCGTTTTCTGCGTTTTCCCGACGCCCTGGTCCCTCTTCCCTCTCCCAAACTCCAGCTCCAAACCTCGGCTTCTTACCGACACCGTAGTCGTTCCATTGAAACAGCACCGGCACGGCGCCCTTTATCAGCCTCCGCCTGCCGCCGTACTCCGTTCGGTCCTTGATATCTTCTGGCCTGAAGTGTCGGCTGCAGACCCGAGTATGAGGTGTTATTGTAATGTTATCCCGTCGTATATTGATTATCCACGCTTTCCTCAACTCGTCATCCGACGGGAAAGCGTGGAAGCTGAGCACCGAGTTGTACTTGGCGGTGGCTCCACACAGAGGAACACAGCAGTACTCTGAGGAGAAGCTCTCGCGCCTCTGATAGTACGTCTTTTTGGACATGGTGATCTTATTAAGGTCAGAGCACAGTTATTATTATCGCTGTGCCAGAACGCTGCATGTATTAAACATGTATACAAATGGGTCCCACCGCAGTATCAGAGACCCTCCCCCAGGGGGAGACAATAATCATTGGTCTACAGCGCTCAACGTCCTGGGGTGCAAACAGGGGGTGCATTCCAATCGCCCTAATAGTTCCCTGCGAAGTGGGGACATTTTAAGGGAGACATTTTAAGGGAGATTCCAGACAGAGCAGGGGTGTCCAATCTTTCATATGCATGTCGGGGCGGTAGTTTTCAGTGGGTTTTAATGTGGTTTATGTGAGAGATAAACAGGACACTGAGGCTGTGAAATGAGTGTTTATTAGCAACAGCTGGATCCTGTAGGCGTTGGCCTATGTTGCTGGTGTTTTGAACTCTGCCATGATGAAAATAGCATTGGGCCTCATTCACCAGCCATTCTTAAGATGAAATTTCCTCTTAAAACCCACTTACACAGTTTTCACAAAGGTTCAAACATTCACCAGTGTTTTCTTTTTTGGGATTTGTTCTTAGGTAAGAATAGAATTTTTGCACCTTTGTGCTCTTGAACGTGCGAACAACTCTGCGGTTCAAGAACACATCATGAATCTGACATAGACTTTTTCTTAGGACTCTTCTCAAGAACAAATTAAAAAAAAAAAATAGGAAGATATTGTTGAATGAGTCCCATTAATGTGCCCACCTTCATCATGCCCACTTTGAAGGGCACTTATGACCGCCAAGATCGCTTGTAGGCTTCATTGTCCACAAAAGGCCAGAGTGGCTGCAGGTTTTCATTCCAGATAAGCACACTTTATTCCACTGTTTAATCAAGTCTTTGAACAACTGAACAATGGTTTTGATTTGCTGGAATGAAAATCTGCAGCCAGTGCTATGTGGATAACGCTGGACACCCCTGATATAGATGGCAAACACAGGTTAAATAAATACAGTGAAACTAAACTGTAAGTTTATGAAAGTATGGATACTGTGAATTAAATGTTTTAACAAATAAAATAAGTTTACAATAAAAAAATAAAGTTTACAATAAACTTAACAATAAAATTAAGTTTACAATAAACTTAACAATAAAATAAGGTTTACTTTATTCGGTGTGTGATGCCTATAGTGTATAGTTTGGCAAATAATCAGGGGTACTCAAAAGCACAAAAGACAGATCAGCGTATCATTTCACACTCAAAAAGAGAACACTGGGGGCAGGAGGTCAGTGCAGGGCAGCCTGTAGAAAGCACATGTTAACATGAAAGCAAAGACAAATCCCAGACATTTTAGGCAAATTAGAAATACCAGCCTGATCTGTTTTTTTTTTTAGGTCCCAAAAAGAGGACAATACGGTCACCTTATTTTATACTGATATGAATTTTTACAATCCAATTTTTCAACCCCTGTTTTCTGTATTGGCTCAGCTACATTGTAAATCGGGGGTCTCCCTCAATGTACTCCAAGTTTAAAGTTTTAAAGGTTGGTTGACTGATTGATTGATTGATTGATTGATCGATTACTGTGGTCATTAAGCTGCCTACTGAGAAATTACATACTTTATAATGCAAGGTTTTTGTGAAACTCAACAGTGTTACACTTGTACTTGGTGTAAATTACAAAGTCAGGCACTTCTAATCCCTGTATGAAGTTAACTCCCATGTTTATTTAATCGCTTTAGGCAAATACAAAACTTAATAATAATAATAATAATAATAATAAAATTCAAAGTGCTTACATTTGCTGTTATTATTGTTCTATTGTTTAACCATTTGTTTGTTACTGTTTGCTGTTTTTTTGCTTGTTATTGTTACGATTCATCTTATGAATTGATATGAATTTGCAGATATTTAAAAAATACCAAATAATAAAAAAAAAAAAAACATAAATGAAAGGAACCTAGACTATTTCCTGTGTTGAGCAACAAATAAAGCTTGAAGATTGAACAACTCATTAAAAAGAGTAGAAATCTAACAGGTTTCAAAAGGATCAGATCAGAAGATTTCACTGCAGCTATGCTTCACTGCTATTATTCTATAGGCCAGTTTATAGTATAAAAGTAAGTGTAACAACTAGGCACCTTGTTTTTACGTACTTATTGTGAAAAAATATTAAACAGCTACTATTATGAAAAAACTGAATTTTTCTCAGCTTTGTGTCTTTGTTTCCTTTGCTAACATCTCTTCCTTGCGTTTTTGCTCCTCTATCTGAGGACGCAATTAGACCTGTGAGGACGGAGGAACCCGAGTCAAACCAATCGAAATGTTCTCACTCACTGAATCGTCACTTTCAAGAAATATACTTTTTAAAAATGATTTAACTTATATTCAGTGTACACAATCACAGTCATATAGAAGACTATAGACTAATGACTTGCGCAACTACCACTGGAATTAACAAATAACTCAACGTACAGCAAGGCCCTATTTAACTCAATTCACATCAGTAGACCTCTGAAGTCGTACGTCATGCTGTAGTTCTGTAGTATCATGCCTTTATTTGGAACTCTGGGTCTGAGCTGTTTATCTCTATGATAAAGACAAACAGGATTTCTGAAAATCATTACTGTTGTGCCCTGTGGTTAACAAAAAGGTTCTAAACCCAATATGTTTTGTCCTACACACAAATTTCCACTGTATTTCACTGGATCCTCTAAATTACAAGCTCATTAAGGAGTCAAATTATGAGTAATTAGGGGCATCACTACACATTAATTTTTTTAATGGCCCCAAAATATTTATAATGCACTTTTAGAGTAGCAACAGCCAGAAAATGTCAAGTACATCAGCCGTATTAAGTATATCAAAAAATGGTTATTTGGTCAAATTGGCACACAGAAGATCTGTCTTTTTGTAGTTTGTATTAAGCACAGATCCAGCATAACAAACACCATATTCACTTACAGCAGGCACAGATCAAGCAAAGGTACTGAAGTCGAATATTGCAATCTCCTCTCTCTCAAATAAGCCGCTAGGTCCTAAATATACTATTCAAACACAGATTATATAAATGTCAGAAAGAGCATGATTTTTTCTGTAGGCATGTTTAATAGATGATTGAATTTTATGGTCATGGTGACAAATATTATATTTTCTCAGTTAAATTAAATTCAGTTTTAATTTTAACTGAAAGCTCATACATCTCACCTCACTTCTCTTCTTGATCACTAACCTCCATCAGATCTGCTCCTTCAGTCCTGTCAGTGTCCTTCAGCTTCTTTCTTCCTGTGTTTAGTAATAAATTAGTTTTACTAAACTCAGATTTGCAAGAACTTAAGGAAATAATGATCAATCATTTTTTTTTTGTTTTTTTAACTGGTAAAAATCTCATCTGACTGGCCTTCGACAGAGCTTCTGCCTCTTATTTTCCTTCTACAGGTTGAGGAAGTGAGGGATATAAAACTGTTATGATGACCTTCACACAAAAAGCTGAAGTCAGCTTCTTGTTTGAATTTTCCACCATAAATGCTGCAGCAGTTTCATTCTGGAGCCTCGCAGCGGAAAACTCGAACAAGAATCTGGCGAACAGGAAGCCAATGCAGCCTCATCATTGTCACATACATTAACTTACTGTAAACAACAATATATGTAAAATAATGTTGCCATTTTTCTCTAAATACTCAAGAGAAATCTAAAACCACACAATATAAAGAGCCGTCAATAACATTATTTCCTCTTGTTTTTTCACACTGTCGCTCTCACTATGAAGTGAGGTTCAACTAGTTGGCTTTTCAACCACAAATCCATATTGTAGGTGGGTATCTTCACTCTGTTTAACACTGTTTCACTGTGTATATTATAGATTTTGAATAAGGTTATATGTTTATTTCAGTGAGCTGGTCTGATATGATTGGCTTACGAAGGATGAGGTCTGATATGGCTTACAACATAAGAGGTCCAAAATGATTAGCTGAAAGTTACGTTAGTTAATCTGTGGTAGTACCAGAGCCGGTTTATGAGAAGCCTGGCCTCTTCCTATTTCCTCCATTATATCGAAATGGTGAAGATCGTGTCTGCAGTGTCTGGGACGTAAAACACAGTGTTAGAAACAAAAAACATCTCACAAGTGAAACCACTGTTTTGCAGTATAAATAAACATCTGCTGCTGCACAGTTTGTGCTGGTCATTATCTAGTCCTTCATCAGTGGTCACAGGACGGTGCCCACAGGACGCTGTTGGCTGGATATTTTTGGTTGGTGGACTATTTTCAGTCCAGCAGTGACACTGAGGTGTTTAAAAACTCCAGCAGGACTGCTGTGTCTGATCCACTCGTACCAGCGCAACACACAACAGACTGTTACTGTTGCCTGAAATCAATAGAAAGGAATAGTTAAAACAAGTTAGGACACCTCTGGGGTTGTCTTAAAGTTAGAACAGAATTTAGGAAATTTTGTCTAGTTAGGATGTTTCTGTAATACTGTTTTCTTATCTGGAGTTTGGATATGATTATGAACTTAAGAACTGTTGTTCTGTAACAGCTTCTGTCCTAAATTCAGTTGTCATAGTAACTAAACAGACAAGAGAAGATTTCAGTGTTAAGATGTTTCTGTATTACGACCCCAGGTTACATTTTTTCACCTTTTAAAAGACAGCTGCCCCCTGCTGGTCAAAGCTGATGTAATATGCTAACCAATTATTTTTCAGCCATTACCCTGTTTGCCACACCCAGGGGTGTAGCACCAAATTTTGAGCCGCTGGCACAGTAGAAAAATAGAAAATCAAGAAAAATAAAAACGTTTATTATGTTCTTTATGAGGTTAGTTGATGTGCATTTAAGGGTACAACAGTTAACAATCAATAAGATAAGTTGTGCTTTCAATACAAAGAAATTATATTAAATCTAGTTAATATATGTAATATTTCTCATTTTGAGATTGCTGCAACCTTATTTTCAGATTGTTTAAAGGGAAACTCCACAAATTTTTGAAAATTTCTGCATAATTGTTAACATTGTCAACAATTTAGAATGGTTTGGTGTGAAATGCTCTGTTTTTAGAGCAACTTACTGAGTCAGAATTGTTCGCAGTGGTGGTGATAGAAACCAGATTTCTGAAGAATTTAACACCCCTAAAAGCTCC